GCCATACTGCCAAGCAACATCGGACATCTTGTGCCCATGTTCTACCTTGGCTATTATCTCTTATTTGGTTTCTATGGTGAGTACAGTTCTTGATACTCCTTTTTTTAGGCTCCATAATAATATCAGTTTCTTTTTTAAATAAAAAGTTCAGAAAAAATTCAGAGAACAGAAATCAACTAGCCTACAAAAAATTATTGAAATGCAAGGCCTGGATGAAATTCGAAATTTGGTATTAAAGCGTTAACGAATATTCGATGGGACAGTTAAACTTTCACCTTTCATAAATAAACCCCGATGCAAAACTTAACAATCTCGCAAAGACTATAAAAAATTATTTGTCAGAAAGGTAAACAAAAAGCTGGAATTACATGGAAGAGTTTCAAAATTCAGAGAATTACTATCAGGTTGAGTGTCGATGTTGATGTCTCACATGCTCTGAAAGGTTTCGAATTGTTACCTGAAGACAAGGGAAAATCAATTGGTATTTGTTATTTTCCGTCACTTCATTTTATGTTTGTTCAGTGAAGTGTTCATTGCCTAATCACCCACTATATATGTATTTTTTCAAGAGTTTTACCTGCTTCACCTATTGTTTTTAAAAGCTTAGCTTTGTTAAAGTTTGGTGTATTTTCTGATATAGTGGTCATTATTGCTATATTCTGCCATATTTAATACAAAATTATCTTCTAGGATAAGCAAGATAAAAGTCTAGAATGAAATTTTTCAGATTTTTCTCTAATTTATTGTAAGAATATAAAATTAAAATTTCTCATTGTTATATTCAGAAACCATAATTATCAGGCTGATAGTCAAGTTTTGCAATTAGTATTTTTATAGTGATGTTATCATGAATGTTCAAATACATTCTATACAATGAAAATTATAAACAGATTTTTATTATTTCATACAGATAACCCAGTGGCTTATAATCCATATCCATACAAATATGCAACCAGGCTCTCTGTCACTTGGGGTTCATTCTTGTTCTGGAGGTCTGAAATGTTGATGGTACATCACAAGTTGGTCCATGCCATCACTAATCTGCATTTCCCGTACACACCTTTTCTTTTTTGTCCCCTTACCTAGTACTAATAAATTATCCTTATACATTTTTCCTAATCCCTTTAATAATAATTTCCTAATTCAAATAATTACACACACTCTCCTCTCAGTGTATCCTGACATCTTGGGTATATGCTCTACCTGCTTTCTCTAACTGTACTCCTGTTCATATCCGTCAAAAAAACTGTTAGAACTGAAATAAAACCATGCATAATCCACACTCTTCCAAGATGATTGTTGTTAGTTGAAAGTTGGCTTTTAAATAATTTTCTGAAAGTCACTACATAGACAGGAAGTATCTACCAAAAATTTATCAGTTGTCAAGGGGCTGTCCATAAATTACATCCACATTTTTCTTGAAACTTTTACTCCCCCTTTCCCTCTTGTTTGTTCAAGTTTCCATAACCCCCCTTACCTCTTTGGATGTCCAACAAAACTCAATTCCTTTCATCACTTTATGAATGATAGATACCATAAGTAGAAATTAAACATATAAGAAATTTTGAAATATATATAATAAAATGCATAAACTGTATAAAATTTAATGAAATAAAATAGATGTCCACTGAAGCTCAACTTTTCCCCTCCTCTTGTCCAACTTTGTTCTACTTGTCTTGACTCTCTTCTCTCTTTCCCAGTGTGGATGTTGTTTATGGACAGCCCAAGTTAAAAGTTCAGCCTTCTATATTTCAGAAAATAATAAAATAATGACTCTACTTGGTTAAAGATGTTCTTGGTAAGTTTAGATGAAAGAAAAGCTTGTATTTGCAAATAAAAATTAGCAGATAACCCACATCATCATGTAATTCACACATGCTTTCAATTTGAATTTTAGTTAAAGATTATTTCATAAGTGAACAAAAAATAAATTAAAATGTGGTAAATTAAGGTTTATTTTTTTAGCAACAATTAAAAAACTGAAAGAAAAATAAACACTGATGTATTCAACAAAATGTTTTGTAAAATATTTTTTATTAGTCAGATACCATCTATATATTTTTTAACATTATTTTCTCAATTTATGAGAATTTATATTTCATATTTTTTATCTGTTATAATTTTAACAGTGATGTTATTCATTTATTCCCACAAGGTATTTCAGTCATATTATTATTGTATGCTTAGTGTACAAACTTCAACCACTCACAAATAGTTATGAAATTAAACTTGCAAAATGTAATAAATATATTACTGCATTTTTAACACTTATTAAGTAAGTTAAGTTTGACAAATTGAGATAACTACAGAGCCTATATAGACAATGTTTGTAATTGGTTTGTCAAAATATAATCTGAATGCTATACAGGTTATGTATAATCTGCAACAATATTCCCACAACATGAAAAAAATTGTTGTAAAATTATTTTATTTTTTGTTGTGTTAATTGTTTTGACATAATAAAACATGAGAAAGTCTAGGGTTACCCATACATTGAGGCACTTGGGACACATGCTGTCCTTTTTGTCTGTGTTGCCCTTTTCCTAATTCCTAAGGGTATCCCAAAATCTATTATCAACAAACAACAGAAAATTCAGAACTTCTAGCTTATTCTACAAATATAAAAGAAACAAATGAATGATATTTGTTTATGTCCTATACAACTTAGTCGTATGGGACAATGGATGATACAAACTTGGCTTTGAAAACAAGGAACATTCTTTGTTTTCAAGGTTAAAAAATTAGCCCTGATTACAATCAGTGCCACCTTGTAGGAGCACTGATCTGACATTGAATCACTGTTTGAAACTTTTTGCATAATGTGTGATGCCCTTTTTTATAGTCTGCAGATGTTGCTGACAGGGTCTCTTTATTTATGTGTAGGGTGGACTCAAAAGACAAAGGTGAGTATGAATCTATTCACTTCTATTGTGAATGGAATGTAGCTTAATTTAAACTGTCAGTGCTACAGTAAACATCTGCAAGTCAGTTTTTGTTTAACATATGTTTTGAGCTTAATTAGGTAATAACAATTAATAAGGTGCGTTTCAAATTTATACGGACAGGAAAAAATTAAAGTGAAACCAAATTTGCTGCATTAAGTGACAAATGTTTTATTAAAAATAACATGGATTTACATGTTTCCACACTGCAAAATAAGAATTTTAATCAAACATTAACATTTTGTCACTGAAAATAATATTTTTGAAAATTTTGTACAAAAAANAAATAAAGAACACTAATGATCAAAGATTAATATTTATTAAAAAAAATATATATATATTTGACTGAATACATAAATTTATTCCTAGGGAAAAAAAATCCAGAAGAAATTATCACAAATTAAAAATATCACAAGTCTAAAGACATTAAAGATAATTTATGCTGAGAAAGAATACAGAAATGCTCTTATAACAGATGCATTAAGAATTTCTTTCAGCTAATTGAACTAATGAAAATTATAGTAGAGCATCAATTATCCGAATCAATTGGGGTCTGGGGTTGTTCGGAAAATCGATATTTCGGATAACCGATTATGTACGAAAAACTATATTAACCTATCCCATGTTGAAATTTTTCTCTGTTGCGTGTTGCTTCACGTTGAATTTTCGTCGATGTTAAGCCTAATGAAGACTATTGTATCGTTAAAAATTATTTTTTTATTTTGTACAAACAAAATAAATATATTGAAAAATATAAAAACAATAAAAAATTATACTTCAGATGTTAATTTAGTATCAAAAACGTAAAATATTTGAGTAGCCCAAGACATAGCCAAAGATTGAAGCGTCACAGCACTGGAAAAAATTTAAATTTGCCGACTGGAATTCTTTCGGATAATTGACATTTCGGATAATTGACTTTCAGATAATCGACGCTCTACTGTATTATTAGAGGATAGAGTCCACTCAATGGTCTAGGGCAGAGGTGGCAAACCTATGGCACGCGTGCCCAAAGTGGCACGTCGAAGAAATCATCCAGCATATAATATATTATACGATATCGGTTTATCATCTTTTTCAATCAGGTTCTTTACATTTACTCTAATTACAGCATATTATTTTATTTATTTAAATATAGTATTTTAAAACTGTTTTAACCCTGTGGGCACTAAGAGGGCTTTTTTATTTAGCAAACTCCAAATGGAACAGTCAGATGGTGTAGAATGGATCACCACCTGAAAATTTTCTGGGGTTTTGATCTCAGGTCCACAAGAGCGATAAGCTACCACTTTGACCGCTCAGCCATTCTGCCAAATTTAAATATAGTTACTAGAAGTCTAAAACTTCTGCACGCATAATCATTTTTAAAGAAAAGTATGCTTAATATGCTTACTATCTGGCACGTAGACTCAAAAAGATTTGCCATCCCTAGTTTAGGGTGAAGTAAGGAAGAGATTGAAGGATAAGAAAGAAAAGAGAAAGTCCCAATAGGCTATGAACAGATAAGGTAAATGAAAAGATATGAAAATAAATATATTTGTTAAGAAATGTTCACATAGTTGTAATTACATAAAGTAATATATGGATGTAGAGAAACAGTAAAACTAATGAAAGTGCATAATTTATTTGTTGTTTTTTAATTTAAATCCACTAATGTATTAATGAATAAAAAAAAAACGAGAAAAAACTGTAATCTGTAAATATAAGTTTTTGTATTTTCACATTATCCCTCTAAAATTATACTCTGTACATAAATAAATTTATGAAATATTATCAATAAATGATGTAAACCTAAATCTTTAAATCTAAAAAGTCATCAGATTTAATAAATTTTAGATAATATCAGTATATTCAGGTATAAATATTCTCTGATATCTCCACTATGTAGTGTATGAGATACCTTTAATGAAAGTTAATTGAGACAAGAAGTTTTAATATATAATAATAATATATTAAAATTAGGCTATATAATAAATTAATTAAAATTGTTCATTGCAACAGAAAATATTATTTTGTATAAATTTCATAAATTAAATTCATAAAATATTAAATTATTACTTATTTAATAGAGGAAATATTGTCCATGAACCTATTACTTCCGGCCATTCTTCGTCAGTTAAATATACATTGGGGACATCCTTTAAAATTAAATTTATTAATAAATATTTATTCGGTTATAAAATATATCATAGAACTTACAGCAAAACAACAAAAATTAATAATTTTACCCAACCCAAATTTAACGATTGTTTAATAATTCTATCTTTTGCTTGATCTGCAAGCTGTTTGTGATATGAATTGGACTGACTCAGGATAACAAATACTACGGGAATGGATTCTTTATCACCTTAAAAAAAATATAATATAAAATTAAAACCTTACAAATTAATGTACAGAATCAGATTATAGATTAAAGTAAAGATAATATCTTATAACTCCATTAATTAATCAAACAGACTTGCCTTTTTTTCCTTCGCAATAAATAATAACAAACACGATTATAACTGTTAAAATAAATTTTTCATAAAGTTTAATTTTCTTAAAAATATTTTAAAGTATTCTAAAATTAAATTATCTTCATAATTATAATTTTAAATTTTAAAAATTATATATTATTTCCGTTTACCAAGGACGAATTTGACAGAAATCATTCCACTAATCTTATCACAATAAATCAAAATCTACCCACGTGTTCCTTAATTGTCAATAATAATAATAATAATAATATGAAATTAACGTTGCCAGTTGTCTGAATTTAATTTTTAAAAATTATAATAAATTTAATTAGAATATTAAAAACTTTTTTGAACTTTTTTTAAAATGTAAACAATTGAATAATTATATATAATATTTATTTATATGATAAACGTATTTAAAATACAAGTATTGTATATTACTGTCTGATGTCGATGGTAAAATGAAATTAAAATTAAAAAAGACTTAAATATTAAAATATTTCTCACTTTCCTTGTGATTTTTCGTTGTTATGGGAAGAATTAAAAGTGTAAATTAGACAAATCTTTATTTATGAAAACAAAAGAAAGTAAATAAAAAGTGAAACACAATAAAGAACTCGGAAATCGAATACAGTAAACTCTTAAAAGAACGGCGCTACCGGTGAATTTGTTGGGCGATCTTTCAAATTCTTCCTTATTTCAAGTCCTGCGTATGTCGAGCTTTGTCCTTCACTACCCGGCTGCCCCATTGTGAGGCTGGTCGAACTACAACATAATATAATCAATGTTTTTCAAAATAAATGACAAAACTTTGTATAGGAAGAGTTTAAGCGTTTCTCTGCTGTAATCTCGTACATATACAATTATCTGTATTATTTCATTAACTGAAGTGATTCCTATCAAAATTAATTCAGTTAAGTACGTTTTACTCGATTGCATACATTTGAAACATCCTCGCTATTCCGCCATATTAGATTCTTGGCTGAATCTATGGCGGTGCAACGAGAAGTAGAAATGCAGTGTTATACTGATTTTCAAAAACATCAAATTTGCAAAATATCCTTGATAATTCAACTTTTAAAATATGCCTGTAACAGAATATATAACCGTCTAGCCACTTCATTCCAGAGAACGAAGTGGCTAGACGGTTATATAATTCTTGCAAGAAAATGGTTGACTCAAGGCGTTGCCGCTGTTGCAATTGGGGTTTAACAAAAGGGTTAATTTTCTCTCGTTATCTCTGCGCTATCACAGAACAAGTCACAGGCCGTTGAGATTTGATGTTTCTTTGAAGGAGTTAATTTTTAGTCTCCTTCCTGTGGACACTAAGGGCCTTTTAGTCAGGCCCACTGTGGGTTCAGCCAGACCCATATTGAGGGACAGAACCCGACATATCTTGGATGGTCCACCCAAAAATTTCCTGGGGGTTTTAGACTCGTTCCGAATTGTTTCCTGGTCCCCAGAATGTTAGGCTGACACCTTAATTAACCACTCGGTCATCCCGTTAAATGTAACTTCGCATTTACGCGAACTTTAGGCGAAGCAGTGGAATATGGTAGAAAAGGTGTTTTCTATAGCAAACATGAAACTTCACAAATATAAAATCTTCCATGGCCACGATACAGCCATTTCGACAAGTAAGTCCTATGCAGAAGTCACTCGGGTTTCTTCGTCGGAAACCCGATATAGATGTTCTTATATGGATAACAATCAGTGGTGATTGTTAACCATATAACAACAACAACAACAACAACAACAACAATGCATAACTTTTTCAGTACTCCAGTAGTGCGTGCAAGTGCTCTATTGGAGCTGGCAACAGTATTCGTTGACTGTTCAACAATGGCTTGTAATATCTCCAAAAACTTGTACAGTGATAGGTTTATTCCCAACTCCGACATCCAGTTTTCTTGAATCGAATGATCATTCTCTCGAGAATTTGAAGACTGAATGATCCTCGGTATAAATTCTTACTGTGACAAAATTCCGAAGTGTGACCAAACGTTGCCATTGTTCTCACAAAACAGCTTCACAAGAAATGCATGTTGTGAAGCTGTATAAGAATATGGTATAAAAAATGACGTTTAACAAGTTGTCGTCACTTTTGTCCCCAGAAGTTGCCTGCAAAGGCAACTATTTGTTGCTTTCAGCTTCAAAAGAATTACAGTGGTGCGTTTTGGTACTAATTTTCTCACGAAAATGTCTTCGGCGTCCTGAAACGTCACCATATAAGACTAGGACTTTAAATCTCTCTAGACAGCACTGAATAGAGATAAATTTAATTACAATCACCCGATATTTTCCAATTATATTCTTATAATTATTAAATTTAAAATTTTTTTCGATAAATAAATGAACAAAGCAAAAATTAAAACAATTTGTCGTCATCAGCCGCCATCTTGTTTTAATGATTGATGTCTCCGTTCTCGTATAACGAGAATTGTGAAATAAAGAACAGCAAGAATCAAACTCTTTATGTAAAAATAAATCTTTACATATTCATCCGCGAATGTAAGTTCTCTAAGTATTCCATTTTTATTTCACTTATTTTATAATTACGTTTATAATGAAGTGCGATAGAAAGTGTATTGAGATGATACCTTCTAAACTGTATATAACTTACTTGTGTCATAGTTTCTATATTTCTACTCCAGAGCATGATATATACCATAGGGAGCGTTACGCTGTTTTTTGTAGTAGAAATTTTCTGCACATCACCAGCACGAAATTACAATAATTCAATAGACATTTCATTTGTAGTAAAATAATAATTTAAAGTTTTTCATGGTCAGATGGTCAAAGTGATTAAGGCCAGATGCTCTGACAAACCTATAAAAAGTTTGAAGCAGATCCTCGAGAATTTTTTATAGGTGGTCGGACAAAAAATTTCACACACTATTCCTATGTAGCTATTTCATTGCATGGTTGTTTGACTGCTTGTTAAAAGGCTCTCTTATTCTCTACAGAAAGCAATAATAGATGGCATTACGTACAACGAATTCAAGATTACAATAGTTTCATTACTTGAAAATCAGCGGTGTCTCAAACTGTAGTTTTGAAAAAAGCTGGTAGCCAAAATTTTAATTGAAATATGATTTTTACAATTTCGATAGGATTTTTCTAGTACAAAGCATACAGAAAAAACTCTTATTTAACAATTTATTTTATTGCACCCGTTTTGATATTTTGTACTAACAAAATAGTGTAGAACAGCAATTTCCAAAAGTATAGCATCTGATTCCGATTCCATGTGGATTCACCAATTCTTCTTATGTAGTTGTGTAAAGACTTTTAATTATTATCCTTTTGCTTAAAAAAATGTTTATAAATGTAAATAACACACTATTATTAATTGTAATCAATGATGAAAAAAGGATTAGTGGGTTTGTGTGTTTATTAACAATGTCAGTATTTAGTACAGTATATGGGAAAAAAATTATTCAAAAAGCAAAAAATTGTAAAAAAAAATGTATTGCAGAATTTTTAAAATAAGGCATTCCACATATGGAAATTAATGGCAAACATCTATAATTTTGTGTAATTTGTAGCAAAACTTTTGCAGATTTCTGCACTCAAAAACAAATCATCCAATGTACTGTATGTCAAAAACAACTATTACTATGTATTTCCGTATAGCTAAACTGTATATCCATTTTAAAAAAATTATTATTAAAACAAAGCATAAAACAAAAAACACTTTTAAAGATTGATAATTGGAAGCATCAACAAACCTAGCAGACAAATGCCAAATATGTGGACAGCATTCTTGAAAAACTGTAAAAAGTGGATGATTGAAAACTCCACTATTGTAATACTTTATGCCTTAATATAAAGTAACTTATTATTGTGTTCATACTTATAAAATTAATGAAACAATGGAGTATTCCACAATTCTTGGGAATTTTTAATATATTTTGCCCATTATTTGTTTAATATTTGCACAACTATGTTTTGGAAAAGTTTCTAACAAAATTGCTACACAATGCTCATATAATCCACTAATTCCTGATAAGCAAGTGTAAAACATATAGAGTTCTTCTTATGTGACATTTAAATCTTAACTTAAAATATATGACTAATCTGAAAGAGATGTCTGCAATCCAAGTGCTTCATAAAATCAAATACCCAGAGTTTGTGGTTTTGGATATTTGAGATTCATCTCCAAATTATAGCCTGCTGTGATTGGAAGATCCAATGAGTCTGGATCCCTCCTCAGAGCTACACAAGTTGAATACTTTAATTTAATATTTAAAGGTATCATATGAATCTCAAGAATTCAACTACATTGCATGATTGAATTAAGACTAATTTAAATTAATATTCCTAATACCAAGGGAAATTTTAATGTTAACAATGCTAATAAAACATATAAATATATATAAAATAATTATATATATATACAAAATTCATGTATGNTAAAATTGAAAATTAATTTTGAATATTTATGAAATTAATATGTCATTTAAATTAATTTAAATAACTTAGAAATTTAAACAGCTTAGAAATGCTTTGCACATGATTATAAATTAAATTTTTATGTTCTCATAAAATTTTGAGATTTGTTTATATTCAAGTCTAAAATCCAAGAAAAATATGTTGAAAATTTTCAACATTGATTATAATTGAAAAGTGCATAACACAGATAGTTTATTAAAACATTAAAGAATCTAAAAGAAAAATCAAATACCTGAAATCAATTTCTATAATAATTTCTCTAATTAGGCAAATACAGTTCTCTGTTGCAAAAAATTCAATGCACCTTAAAGCCAGCATGCAGTGGTAATCAAACTGTGTATATGGAATGATATTGAAAACTAAAAAATTCATTATAACATCACAGCACAAAGAAATGTCATTGAAGAACAGTTTAATTACAAGTGTTAAAAAATGGAAATTGGCAAACTCAGTCTGGCAATTAATGCAAACTGATCAATGTTGGAGATGGCTTTACAATTTACTAATATGCAATATTTCTGATGAAACTGTTCTTCAATGATGTATCTTTGTGCTGTGATGTTATTAATGAATTTTTTTATTTTTTCATCACCATTCTATATGCAGAATTTTATAACTACAGCTTGTTGGCTTTAAGGTATATCAATTTTTTCTAAAAGTATATATATTTACTCATTATTTACTTAAAATATAATCAGATGTTTTATTCTATTGTAATAATTCTATATTTTAGAATTGAATTTACAACAATCAGTCATACCTAAGAAATAAAATTCATATGGTATATAAATGTGATTTTTCTCTCTCTCTCCCTCTCCAAATACATATACTTTTATGTACTCATATCACTAATATACAGTATGATATTTATATATGTGTTACAAATCCTGACAATAAAATCTAAAAAAATAATATAAATTCTCTTATTTTAAAAATGTATCAGTAACCATACTTACTTCAGAAGCATTAAATCTTTCTAATAGTGATTTTAACTTTTTTACATCAACATGGGTAAGTTCTTCACAAATAAATAACCAAAAATGATGACTCTTAAATTTTTCTGTAATTCTATAATACAATAATTTCTGTTAAAAATGAGTATTAAACAGACTTTATATTAAAAAATTATGTTGTTATTAAATTTATATCTACACATTAACATATACATCTTACAGTAATGATTAATTAATGATTAAGAAATTATTAATTACAAATTAAGAGTTTTTCATTATTTGATGTTTCCAAATGAACTTAATAATAAAAATTAATTCCTAACAATGCTTAATACCTATTACAAATAAGATAATTCTTACAGTTTTTAATTCTTTATATGGAAGATCCTAAGAAATTTATAATAAACCAAAACATTAAGCTTATTTTAGTTTTCTAATGATAGATTTTTCATTTGAGTATCATCATCATAACCACTATCAAACTTTTCCACATATGCAAAAGAAATGGTAAAGTGGCATAATGCATATAGAAATGTTTCCTTAACAAAATCTTATTTCTGCATTCATGATTCATCTATTCAGGTATACTTTGCTTTACAGCATATTTCAATTATATTCATGTTTATTATTTTTGGCACTTGACTCACAATTAAAAAGATATCATACAAAATTCCTTCATTGTTATTTTTACTGTTGCATCTTTTTTAAGCCTAGCACTATTGTGCATTTAGACAGTGTAAATATGTTTTTAGGCTTTTATATGAACCTGGCAAGTAAAAAATTGTGTTTTGCTTTAAGGCAATCTTCACTTTACAGCAATGGCCTGAAACTTAACTTTCTCCATATTAGTGAGGTACAGTACATCTGTATTTTATGATAGTTCCTTCTTAAAGATTATTATTGATTTTATCACTGATAAATAAAAGATTTTTTGAATAACTTTATTTATTATGTCTGAAATATTTGTTTTTATTTTCTTTTACGGCTTTTTATTAGTAAGTATTAAATACAGACATATTCTATGGATTCCTTGGAATAATAAGTAAGAAAATTGTCTAATTTGATTTAATTATTTATTAAAATGAATACCACATGTTCTTTCCAATCCAATATTTTTCCCAATAATGACAATTAACATAACTAGATGTAGGTGTTTCAAAAGGTAATAGCAAATAATAATAAATATTTTGAGATATCATTTGTATCTCTAATTGAATTATATAAGTCATTTTTCTAGATAATCACCCTCCTTTCCAATACATTTCTCACACCATTGCATCACCTTCTTTATTCCATCAGAAAAGAATCATGTTGTGCATTCAACCAGGAATGTACCAAAAACATTTTCCTGGTTGAATGCACTACTTCTTTCATTATCTACAATTCTTTGTCCTCTCAAATTCTTTGTCCCCTCTTTCAGGGGTCCATATATAATAGTCAGATGGAGCACAGTCAGGCATGTATGAGGGATGCTGTAAGATCTGAAATCTCAATCTCCAAATGGTATCAATAGTTGCAACAGTCATGTGAGGCCATGCACATAATTTGTGATACTTGCAAACCTCTGTGACAATAGTATGTATGAATAAGAATTTCCAAAGAAATGCACCTGTTTTCATGAATAATGGCATCAAAATCTTCTCATCAGTAACAGCCTAACTGGGATGAACAGAGTGTTGGGTCATCCCAGATTATATATCAGATTGATATTTGTCATTTTTAAATATGTTTACCCACTCATATATTCTTCTCTTACCATTACAGCATCTCCATACTGTTATAGCATTCTTCTATGAATTTCATGAGGTTTCATACCCTACAGCTGCAAAATTCTGATGATGCTCATTGCTTCTCTATGATGCAAACAGCTAAGAGCACACTTCCATTTTGTATATGCTTCCTTTTGAATTAAGAACATTATCTATTACTACTAGTTAATGTCAATACTTTCTCTAAGAATGCATCTTTCTTTTTCAAGAGTTTGAAATGCTTGGAAAACTGATTTCATAAAATATTGTCAATTTGCTGTTATTTTTTGAAATATCTAAGCGGAAAATTAAAAATGAATTAATAAAAAAAAACTNAGAAAAAGTTCAATCCTCAAAACACCCAATTGTGAGTTACAGAACTATGCAGCTGGGCCTACATTAGCTGTTAGTGATTCCACCACACATGAATTTTCTACAATTAATTTCCATTTGACAGTATTGCATATTTGAAATGATGTATCATATAACCAATACATTATTCACTTGCCCCTGATGAGATATTCTAAAATGTTAGAAAAGGTAAAAATCATTGTTACACCTCTTCTAACATTTTAAATACATTAGCTAATTTGCTGATTAAGAGCACTGTTGAAAGGTACGCTGGACAAATTGTTGCTCTTCCCTCCTAGCTAGTTATATTTCTTACTTAGCATTCTGTGTTACTTACTGAACATAGCTCATATTGAAACTTCACAGACAATTCAATAACTGCACAACTCATGATAAGTTACTTTTTAATTTTTTCCCCCTTTCCTGTAAACAATTAGTTCTTTTGCTTATGTATTTAATAAAAAATACTACTGAATGTAAATATAAATAAATTTCATATAAACTGCAAATACATGTTTATACTAAAAATTTGTCAAATAAATCTACAAATTAATTATTTCAGTTTTCACAAACTATCTTGCTGAAATTCTTGTTTCTAAATTTTCAAAGTATATTAGGTATATGAATCATTTGGAATGAGAATACTTACAAAAGATACCTTTATGAGGATAAAAACTAATGGTATACAGCACAAAATACTTTCATTTTCCTGATATTGTAGTTTCTACTTTTGCTGTTTGGGAATGTGTTGAAACTTTTGCTTATGGATAGGGCAAAAGAAATAATAAAATTTTTTTGAATTTATAAATACAATAAATGGTAAGCTGTAAAAGTGTTTTGTATATTTTTATGTATTGAATGAAGATAAGTTATTATACAAATAAAGTTTTAATGAGATCTTAAAATGTTTTACATTACATACTTGCTTTAATGTTTATTTATTTTGCAATATGTAAGTACTTTCATCCTGATTTTCTTGTACTGATGATTGATTTTCTACTTCAGTTTCTCTTGTAGAAGGTGATACAACTTGTATATTAGTAAACAAACTTTTAAACACTATAACTATTGTAATAAAAAATATTAATATTAAAATGGCTGAAAATGATCCATATCCATACATGAAAGCAAACAAAAAATAAGCACATAAATATCCCACAGTCTGTTTGTGTGCAAGCCATCTTAAATTTACTCGAGGTGGAAGATGATGTGAAATTTGATGAGAATATTGTCCAGTTTTCTTCATCTCGTAATAAACTGCTGGAGGTGCTAAAATTTGACGGCTTACTTTCCCAAAAAATCCAGGGCGATAATATGCTTCTGAAAATTCTGTTTCAAACTATAAAAAGAAATTTTATATAATTAAAAAGTTTCTAAAAATTGTTTTACTTTATTTTTTGTTGTTACCTTTGCTAAAACTAATAATAGTAATTCAAAAATTTATTCTTTAATAAATTTATTATTAACAATTTAATTGTAAATTATTTGATATTTTTTAAATTTCTTTTGAATATTTTTTAGAATAATATGAAATTCAGTTTTATATCTATTATTATTACTTACAGAAATTCCTTTCAATAACATGTAAACCTTGCAATATAACATTTAAAGGCTTAAAACATTTTGTTTACAAAAAATAATCATAATTAACTATTATCCTAAATCCTTGTCATAATAAGAAAAAATTTTTCATTCAATTACTAAAGTGATTTTAGTAATCATATAACACAGAAGTACAGAACTTGATTATTAAAATTATAACAATTTTTTGATTATTAAAATTTAATTACTATGATTAAAAATTACTGTAATTTCAAGTACAAAACTACTTATTTAATCTGAAATATATATATATATATAAATTCCATTCTAACTACTATCACCTAATACGGGAGTCACCAAAGTATGGCCCACGAGATCAGCTCATCCGACCCGCTGCCACAGTGTGCCACAAATGAGCTAAAATATAATTATTTATATGGAAATATCATAGATTGTAGATAAACTTACACTTATTTTAATTTTTCTACATAGTAAGTAAAAATGCCAAAATTGGTCCAATCTAATTTTGGCATCTTACAGTAATATAATTTTTAGGAAAATCATGAAAAAAAAATTTGGCAACTTTATGCGACTTTGGATATCAGAGCACTTTTTGTGTGAATACCTACAATGAAGTTTCTAAGAAAAGTGATTACGAGCTTGCTGCACTGTTCATGTTTGTGTATTGATAAATATGTTGATTGTCTTTAATTTTTGTGTATTAAGTGTACTATATTGAGCAAAATGGTTATGCAGCCCATGCTTATCATTCTCTCAGTTATCTGGTCCATTGTGAAAAAAGTTTGATGACCCCTGACCTAATACAAGGACAACCATATTCCAGAGCTATCCATTAAAAACATGAGAACAGAACAATCTTTATGTGACAGTTAATTACAATATTCCGCTCCACAAGCTCATTTGAATAGCATTTGTTGTCTACATATATTTGTATTAAAGATTTTATATTTTATAAATTATTGTTATTTGTAGATACAAAAAGCAAATATTTGACAGTACATATATTAAACTCTTTTACAAGATAAATTCTTCCATATCGATCAGAAAATGAGTATCATGCATGTTTTAGATTAGTTGATTAAAAGAAATTATTAAATAAGGCACAAAAAAACTAATCCATGTCATATTATCATATGACATAAATTATTTTATTAAAAAAAAATTAAAAAATTTTTGAAATCCAGGATCATTAAAGAATCAAACTATTATCATTAAAAAAGTACATAAAATTTACTATTTAATAATGATTCAGTTTTATAAATTCCTGGTGTTGATTATACTATATTCTAATAAAATTTTTTTTAATATATAACTTTGAGTAAAATTCCACATATTAGAAATTAGCAAAGATACATTAGATACGATTGAAATCAAGTATACCAGTGCCAGATATATATGAAAATTTTGATAAAATTCATTGCAATATGTACTTACAATGTACTTACCTTTTCATTTAAAAACAAAGATATATGCCATAGTAATCTTACAAGAAATGTTATTTCATAACTTCTAATAGGTTGTAAATCAGGATGACCTTGATAAGAAACTTTGACTTTTCTTAATTTATTTAATATTTGATAACGACCTAGATCAGTTAATTTTGGTTTCTCATCTTCTATAATAGTATCTGGAGGTAAATTAGTTGAAACTTTCTCAAAAGCTTTTGACTGTGATTGAATATGTTGAGAAGAAAGAGTCTGAGGATGAATCTATAATTTTTGAAATAAAATTAATGTATGTTAAATCCAATTATAATTTGTTTGAAACATTTTTTAAATATTATGTATAAAACTAGAAGTATTTTCATATAAGCTAATTAAAAATCACTAAAGGAAATTATTTATTATTAATTATAAAAAGAAAGTATATTTATTTTTAAATGCACACCTCATCAAATGAACAATGTTTGCATGAACAAGAATAAGTTTATTAACCAGGTTCCAACTTAACAACTGCTACTTGTTGGATAATAAGTACAGTAATCACAGCTTAAACAACTTTCATAGATGTTAGTCAGTATATATTTTTTTGAAATTAAAGTTTTGTTCCCGATCTACAAAGGTTTTTTAAGCTGGGTTATCAGGAATTTCAGGCTTGACTGAATTCCAGTATAACAAGAATGGAAAATTCTCACATTTAAATGATACCAAATCAAAAATAAATCAGTCAATCAGAGCAAATAAACATTGGGAATATGATATTATAATTTTGTAAATTGTTGCCTCATTTTATTACAAATTTCATTGTTTAGTGAACATGTTTCATAACTTTTTTGTCATGAAGCATAGCTTTCTATAAAACAAGCCCTTAGAGTAAGAAATACTATAAATTAATCAACCAATTAGAGTAATTTTAGGTTATGAATACAATATTGTTATTTTTTAAGTGACAGCATCCTGAATCAGTTGAACATGAATCTGAAAGTAATGTGAATGTATCTCAATTCAGGGATCATAAATATTGATCAACTGATGTAAATGTTTCATACAAAGTATGCCTATTGCAGACAACATTTTCAAATTTTGTATCTGTCTGTGCAGAGTAGTTTTCATGATAAAGTTAAATAAATTAAATAAAGACAACCTAAACAAACAAGTTATTAATTAGAGACAAAAAAAAATAGAACATAAGATAAAATAAGATTTGATCTTTTTTTCAAATGAATTAAATGAAAATTACTCTCTAAAACAGGAAAGGAATGGATGGAATGGTTCTACAAGCACTTCTTCCATTCATACAATTTTGAAAAATAAGCATAGTCTCTCATAGTCTCTCTTTGCCAGATGAAGATTCATCTGGCAAAACTTCACTTAGCAACAATATGTTTAAAGAATACATTTAGAAATAGTTGAAAAAATAAATAATAAAATACAGCTTATATCAATATTTAGGATAAAACAGGTAGATGCTAAAATATCAAATAAAATCAAATGTAACTGTAACTGTAAAAATTAAAAAATGTTAATAAACCTATATGATTCTTAAATGGAAAATGAAAAAATTCTCTTTAGGCAATAACTATTTACTGATAAAAATCTTTCTGCCTAGTAAATATCTAGAGTTCACATAATTAAAAATTAATCTTTATTTACACATGAGAAAGATTTAAAGTTAAAATGTTAATTTATTAGCTTAATTATTAAAATATAATAACTTTCTTACTTTAAATATTGCACAAAGCTGATCACTTGAGGTCTTCAAATATTGTTCTAATTTTTTATTATCTGCTTGGCTATAGTCTTCATTTCCTTCAATATCATAAGATATTGAAAATAACTGAGTAAAATAAGAGAATAAACCTTTTTTTGTTTCTCCATTCTTATCTAATGTTTTAGCTGAATTATCTTTTGCCTGATTTATTGATATTAACAGCAAATTAATCTGAAATATTATACAATTTTTGTAACAACAATTTTAAATGATATAAAAAAAAGCATTATTATTTTTATAAAGAAAATTAAAACAATATATAATATAATAATAACATGTCTCATATAATTTTTCAAATGATTGTGTATATGTATTCTTTTGTTGATAAACTATTCAAACTGTATAAACTATTTTAATATGAAAGACATTCAAGAAGTTCCTGGAAAGTGATTATTCATAAACAGACTGCTTTACAGGTATTTATAATTAACTGATGTGAGTGTACATTTGTTAAGACTTGTTTTATTAGGTATTCACAACAGTGCATAGTATGTAACTATGCATGGAAAAATTCATCAGTGCATCTTGCTCCATCACAATCATCACTAATTCATTCTGCAAGATCTACCAGTGATCTACCAAGATCTGTTGCAGAAATACTGGCGGTAAATTTTACCACACCCTCTCTATAGTCCAGATTAGTCCCATCAGACTTTTTTATTCCCAAATTTAAAGAAGACATTAAAGACGTTTGCTAGTAGTAGATAGATAAGTGCAGTTTTACAGTGTAATAGCTAGAATCAAAGTGCTAATTTCAACTGGAAGAACTTTGAAGAATGATGATACCTTATGGAAAAATGTTTTAACTTAAATTGAACATATGTTGAAAATAAAGTGCTAAATTCAATTTGCTATCTTTTCATTTACATTTTCTGGAAATTTTTTGAATGCCTCTCCCATATTAAGACATTGAAAAGTCTTTGGAAGGATAACATTTCAACTTATTTTGATTCCAGAAGATAATGTGAAGAAAAAGCATATGTTTCATTTTACTCATTTAATGTCAAAAAACAGATGATTTCTTACTGATTGATAATAAATGAGAAAATTCATAATTTTACAAATAGATCATTATACATTTATATCATATAAATATAACACACATTGATCTTGTAGCCTAATTTTTTTTATTTTAGCTTAACACTATAACACAATTATTAAAATAATAAATAAAATTTGAATTACTTGTTTGCGAACTTCATCTCCAAATAATGGTACAAAATTAAAACCTGGTTCTTCTATTTCTAAAAACTGTTGTCGTAGTGTTCCAGCAACAGTCATATCACGAGCAGGACGTAAAGGAGTACGAACTTCAGTAATGATTGGCCAATTCTGAGATGATGTTAAACGTGACAGAGGTTCTTGCAAAGTGCTTTCCACTAATAAATATTCAAAACAGGTCATTATTACTGTTTTCTAAAATATTTTACTGAATTTTAAATATTTCCTCAAAAATTTATTTATTTTTGATAATAAAATTACTTTCAGATCTTTAATATTTCTTTAACAGTTATCTTAATAAAAATCATTAACTTATGGATTTAGAAAAACAGATTTTCATTACAATATATTATTAGTTATTATTTTTATATTAATTTAAAAACTATTTTTTCAAAGACAACTAGACAAACAATTAATTTAGTACAAATTCAGAAATAATTTAAAAAGGAAATAAACATTTAGAGTAATAAAAATTAATTATATAATTGAGATAATTTATATGCAATTTCAGTTTTATTTCAGAGATCTTAAAATAATCATTATTACTATTAAGATCATCAAAATAATTAAAATGTTCCTATATTGTTAACACACATTTTTACAATAACTATTGGTTTCTAACCCTCAAAAAGTCAGTTTTTAATGTGATAATCTCATACTATGATAACTAGTTATCTATACACTTTAAAACAAAAATTTTCAAAAATATATTTTGTTTTTCAGCTCTTTAATACTTCTAAATATTATATCATTTACAGCATAATGGTATCATCATATACAGGAAAATGTATACAGTCGACCCCCCTATAATTACGNAATATAATATCTGTTTATGTTTATGTAATTTTTCTTCTCAATAAAAATAAATATGACAGTTTCACTAAAAAGTTTTTCAAAATGAAATATTTATGAAATTTGTGTTATGAAAAAACATGATTTATAATTAATTCCCTAAAGAAATTACTTTGCATAACTAAAATTAATAAATGACCAAAAGTTTTCCAAATCTTTATTGGATCACAACTTTTTAAAATATTCTTTTCAAATATAATACAAGGTCTGTCCCAAAAGTAGGTGTACTGATTTTTATTTCAAAATATACAAGAGTTACATGAAACTACAAACAATCTCCTTCAAAGTACGACCCTTGCAAGGTCACACAGTGATTCTAAAGTTTTTCCACTGGTCATAGTAGTACTTTAAGTCCTTTTCTGTAAGGGTGTTTAGTTCATTGGTTGCAACTTTTTTGATGTTTTCCACTATCCCAAAATTATGACCTTTTAACTTGGATTTTATCTTAGGGACTAGGTAAAAGTCACACAGAACTAGGTCCAGACTGTAGGAAGGTTATGGGCATGTGAGGATTTTTTCTTGGCCAAAAACTCTCAAATTGATAATGCTGTGTGAGCTGGCACACTATTGTGGTGCAGCACCCAATCTTCTGTAATGTTCCTGTGGACTTGCTTGATCCGTTTTCGAAGTCATTCCAAGACATCTTTATAAAAGACTTAACTGTCTGTCCTGAAGATAAAAATCCTTTGTGCACAATTCCACTGCTTATAGAAAAAAAAAAAAGCATCCCTGAATCTTTGTGCCATCTAAACACCGTGTTTCTCAATATTCACATAAAACTTGATAGAGTAAAATTGTTCAAGATTTTCCTCCATTTCAAACGTAATGTGATGTGTTAAAACACTATCTTATACAAACAGAAATTGTGCACGTTTGACTTAACCATTCAACTTGAAACAGGTCTACATATGCTGCTAAAATATCTAGCAATGCAAAAATACCAATTAATGATGTATTAAGCTGCACAGTCATTAAATAAAAAATCAGTACACTTACTTTTGGGATAGACCATGTAAAATGTGATAGAATTAGTTTAATTTATTCAGATTAATGTATGACTTATAAAAAATTATAATTTTTATATAACAACTATGCTGTCAACTCAATAGTACAATCTTTGAAAATTTGTTGTGGTATACATAGTTATTAAATTTAGTTTTTTTTTTTCGTTAGAATGTATTCAAATATATAATTAAAAAAATTGAATAGTCAGATAAGTATTACATTCAGTAAATAAGCAGAATGATAATATCCTGAAATTGTCAAATACAAAAACAAATATTTTATAACATATAACTACTCTGTCAAATCATTCTGCTACCATTCTTCTTGTATTACCTTTGATTACTGTCTACAGTTTTACATATCTTAAACTCTCTATATATTCTTTTGATCTTTTATATTTCTTTTTGATACAATCCACATAAATTGCAAAAGCTTATCTCTAAAGACAGTAGTCTTTGCTATTTCTTATTTTATCAAAAAGCATCTATTCTTATCTAATAATGACACTTATTTCTCAGATATACTTCAACCTTGTACTTAGTGTTATAGTGCTATTCTATATTCCAATCTTTCACATTTATCTTCATTGTCTACTAGACATGTGTGGTGTCAGGTAAATTATATTAGAACTTTTTCTCAGCTTTATCTATCTAACTTTTCCATTACAGTAATAGCAAGTTACATAACTAATGTAGACCATAGACCTTTACATAACTTGAATTTTATGTAAGTTGAATTTGTAAATTGCTTAAGTGTAACTATGTAATTAATAACTCAATACTGTATTTATTTTATGTGTACTGTACATGTGTAAAAGAATTGTTTATGAGAAAGAGTGCCCAGTACGCTTGCGTACGTGTTTACAATTAGACCGAAAAGTAAAGGATTAGCAGAGCAATAAAGTAATAAATCGGTACATTGTGAAAGAAACGAAGAGTGAGAGAGAATGAATGAATGAATGAATGTTTGAAATAGAATAATTCTTTGTAAAATTACATGTTACTCTAATCAAATTTTTTCATGATTTTTGAGATTTACATTTTGTGTAACTGAGAATTTATGTAAGTTGTGTGTTACATAACACAGGATATTACTGTATATGAATTCCTTTGCTGAATCAGTTACTTTTTTTTAATCCCAGCACACCTATGTTCTCAATCTGTTATCTGAATATATCTCTTCTTTTCAAAGCTTTAATATGTATTTTGCATTTTGCATACCTAAGAGCTTTAGATTCATCATGTATTTAACTGTCTCTATAAATAGATAAATGACTTGACAAAATCCATTAAGCTTTCAGTATTGATATTAAAATGTCATTATTGGACATTATTATTATGATGAACATTATAACTATAACAATACATATATAACTATAACTGAACATTATTATATAATATGTCATTAAACATTGAGATAATTTGCACAGATTACCCATCAAGTCTAAATGCTACAATAAATATAATCATTTCCAGTATTTTTGATAAATGTGACATAATACTGTAGTAATTAGAACTGTCATTTCTCTACTACAATATTACATCTTATATTAACACATTTTTCTAATAGAAATTAGATAAAATTTATTTGCACTTGGATTTACGCATAAGACTTAGAAACAATATAAGACAAATTCTGTAAATTATGAACATTCTTATAGATCTAAAGTTTTCTTTTTATGTTAAAAGAATATTTATTTTATCTAATAAATGCATTGACTATAAATATATACTTATATAATTANAATGAATTAAATGGAAATTACTCTCTAAAACAGGAATGGAATGGATGGAATGGTTCTACAAGCACTTCTTCCATTCATACAATTTTGAAAAATAAGCATAGTCTCTCAGTGGATGAAGATTCATCTAGCAAAACTTCACTTAGCAACAATATGTTTAAAGAATACATTTAGAAATAGTTGAAAAAATGAATAATAAAATACAGCTTATATCAATATTTAGGATAAAACAGGTAGATGCTAAAATATCAAATAAAATCAAATGTAACTGTAACTGTAAAAATTAAAAAATGTTAATAAACCTATATGATTCTTAAATGGAAAATGAAAAAATTCACTTTAGACAATACTATTTACTGATAAAAATCTTTCTGCCTAGTAAGTATCTAGAGTTCACATAATTAAAAATTAAACTTTGTTTACACATGTGAAAGATTTAAAGTTAAAATGTTAATTTATTAGCTTAATTATTAAAATATAATAACTTTCTTACTTTAAATATTGCACAAAGCTGATCACTTGAGGTCTTCAAATATTGTTCTAATTTTTTATTATCTGCTTGGCTATAGTCTTCATTTCCTTCAATATCATAAGATATTGAAAATAACTGAGTAAAATAAGAGAATAAACCTTTTTTTGTTTCTCCATTCTTATCTAATGTTTTAGCTGAATTATCTTTTGCCTGATTTATTGATATTAACAGCAAATTAATCTGAAATATTATACAATTTTTGTAACAATTTTAAATGATGATATAAAAAAAAAACATTATTATTTTTATAAAGAAAATTAAAACAATATATAATATAATAATAATATGTCATATATAATTTTTCAAATGATTGTGTATATGTATTCTTTTGTTGATAAACTATTCAAACTGTATAAACTATTTTAATATGAAAGACATTCAAGAAGTTCCTGGAAAGTGATTATTCATAAACAGACTGCTATACAGGTATTTATAATTACCTGATGTGAGTGTGTACATTTGTTGAGACTTGTTTTATTAGGTATTCACAACAGTGCGTAGTATGTAACTATGCATGGAAAAATTCATCAGTGCATATTGCTCCATCACAATCATCACTAATTCATTCTGCAAGATCTACCAGTGATCTACCAAGATCTGTTGCATGAATATTGGTGGTAAATTTTACCACACCCTCTCTATAGTCCAGATTAGTCCCATCAGACTTTTTTATTCCCAAATTTAAAGAAGACATTAAAGACGTTTGCTAGTAGTAGATAGATAAGTGCAGTTTTACAGTGTAATAGCTAGAATCAAAGTGCTAATTTCAACTGGAAGAACTTTGAAGAATGATGATACCTTATGGAAAAATGTTTTAACTTAAATTGAACATATGTTGAAAATAAAGTGCTAAATTCAATTTGCTATCTTTTCATTTACATTTTCTGGAAATTTTTTGAATGCCTCTCCCATATTAAGACATTGAAAAGTCTTTGGAAGGATAACATTTCAACTTATTTTGATTCCAGAAGATAATGTGAAGAAAAAGCATATGTTTCATTTTACTCATTTAATGTCAAAAAACAGATGATTTCTTACTGATTGATAATAAATGAGAAAATTCATAATTTTACAAATAGATCATTATACATTTATATCATATAAATATAACACACATTGATCTTGTAGCCTAATTTTTTTTATTTTAGCTTAACACTATAACACAATTATTAAAATAATAAATAAAATTTGAATTACTTGTTTGCGAACTTCATCTCCAAATAATGGTACAAAATTAAAACCTGGTTCTTCTATTTCTAAAAACTGTTGTCGTAGTGTTCCAGCAACAGTCATATCACGAGCAGGACGTAAAGGAGTACGAACTTCAGTAATGATTGGCCAATTCTGAGATGATGTTAAACGTGACAGAGGTTCTTGCAAAGTGCTTTCCACTAATAAATATTCAAAACAGGTCATTATTACTGTTTTCTAAAATATTTTACTGAATTTTAAATATTTCCTCAAAAATTTATTTATTTTTGATAATAAAATTACTTTCAGATCTTTAATATTTCTTTAACAGTTATCTTAATAAAAATCATTAACTTATGGATTTAGAAAAACAGATTTTCATTACAATATATTATTAGTTATTATTTTTATATTAATTTAAAAACTATTTTTTCAAAGACAACTAGACAAACAATTAATTTAGTACAAATTCAGAAATAATTTAAAAAGGAAATAAACATTTAGAGTAATAAAAATTAATTATATAATTGAAATAATTTATATGCAATTTCAGTTTTATTTCAGAGATCTTAAAATAATCATTATTACTATTAAGATCATCAAAATAATTAAAATGTTCCTACATNATTTTGGAAATGTTGAGTCGGATTAGTCTAGAATCGATTAATTTTATGGAAGAAAATCTTTCAAACAGCCGTAGTCCGTAAACTTGACACGTGTCGGGTTGTGATTGGAAGGATTCGTAAGAAAGCGGATTCCTAGAGAATGGAACGTATCTCTATCTTATAGGGGGGTCGACTGTACTAAATTTATTGTAGCTACTTAAATAATTTCTAAATTTAATATTTTAATCTAACATATCTGTTTATGTTTATGTAATTTTTCTTCTCAATAAAAATAAATATGACAGTTTCACTAAAAAGTTTTTCAAAATGAAATATTTATGAAATTTGTGTTATGAAAAAACATGATTTATAATTAATTCCCTAAAGAAATTACTTTGCATAACTAAAATTAATAAATGACCAAAAGTTTTCCAAATCTTTATTGGATCACAACTTTTTAAAATATTCTTTTCAAATATAATACAAGGTCTGTCCCAAAAGTAGGTGTACTGATTTTTATTTCAAAATATACAAGAGTTACATGAAACTACAAACAATCTCCTTCAAAGTACGACCCTTGCAAGGTCACACAGTGATTCTAAAGTTTTTCCACTGGTCATAGTAGTACTTTAAGTCCTTTTCTGTAAGGGTGTTTAGTTCATTGGTTGCAACTTTTTTGATGTTTTCCACTATCCCAAAATTATGACCTTTTAACTTGGATTTTATCTTAGGGACTAGGTAAAAGTCACACAGAACTAGGTCCAGACTGTAGGAAGGTTATGGGCATGTGAGGATTTTTTCTTGGCCAAAAACTCTCAAATTGATAATGCTGTGTGAGCTGGCACACTATTGTGGTGCAGCACCCAATCTTCTGTAATGTTCCTGTGGACTTGCTTGATCCGTTTTCGAAGTCATTCCAAGACATCTTTATAAAAGACTTAACTGTCTGTCCTGAAGATAAAAATCCTTTGTGCACAATTCCACTGCTTATAGAAAAAAAAAAAAGCATCCCTGAATCTTTGTGCCATCTAAACACCGTGTTTCTCAATATTCACATAAAACTTGATAGAGTAAAATTGTTCAAGATTTTCCTCCATTTCAAACGTAATGTGATGTGTTAAAACACTATCTTATACAAACAGAAATTGTGCACGTTTGACTTAACCATTCAACTTGAAACAGGTCTACATATGCTGCTAAAATATCTAGCAATGCAAAAATACCAATTAATGATGTATTAAGCTGCACAGTCATTAAATAAAAAATCAGTACACTTACTTTTGGGATAGACCATGTAAAATGTGATAGAATTAGTTTAATTTATTCAGATTAATGTATGACTTATAAAAAATTATAATTTTTATATAACAACTATGCTGTCAACTCAATAATGCAATCTTTGAAAATTTATGGTGGTATCCATAGTTATCGAATTTAGTTTTTTTTTCATTAGAATGTATTCAAATATATAATTAAAAAAATTGAATAGTCAGATAAGTATTACATTCAGTAAATAAGCAGGATGATAATATCCTGAAATTGTCAAATACAAAAACAAATATTTTATAACATATAACTACTCTGTCAAATCATTCTGCTACCATTCTTCTTATATTACCTTTGATTAGTGTTTACAGTTTTACATATCTTAAACTCTCTATATATTCTTTTGATCTTTTATATTTCTTTTTGATACAATCCACATAAATTGCAAAAGCTTATCTCTAAAGACAGTAGTCTTTGCTATTTCTTATTTTATCAAAAAGCATCTATTCTTATCTAATAATGACACTTATTTCTCAGATATACTTCTGTACTTAGTGTTATAGTGCTATTCTATATTCCAATCTTTCACATTTATCTTCATTGTCTACTAGACATGTGTGGTGTCAGGTAAATTATATTAGAACTTTTTCTCAGCTTTATCTATCTAACTTTTCCATTACAGTAATAGCAAGTTACATAACTAATGTAGACCATAGACCTTTACGTAACTCGAATTTTATGTAAGTTGAATTTGTAAATTGCTTAAGTGTAACTACGTAATTAATAACTCAATACTGTATTTATTTTGTGTGTACTGTACATGTATAAAAGAATTGTTTACGAGAAAGAGTGCCCAGTACGCTTGCGTACGTGTTTACAATTAGACCGAAAAGTAAAGGATTAGCAGAGCAATAAAGTAATAAATCAGTATAGTGCGAAAGAAAGGAAGAGTGAGAGAGAATGAATGAATAAATGAATGTTTGAAATAGAATAATTCTTTGTAAAATTACATGTTACTTTACTCAGACTTTTTCATGATTTTTGATATTTACATTTTGTGTAACTGAGAATTTATGTAAGTTGTGTGTTACATAACACAGGATATTACTGTATATGAATTCCTTTGCTGAATCAGTTACTTTTTTTTTAATCCCAGCACACCTATGTTCTCAATCTGTTATCTGAATATATCTCTTCTTTTCAAAGCTTTAATATGTATTTTGCATTTTGCATACCATTTAGATTCATCATGTATTTAACTGTCTCTATAAATAGATAAATGACTTGACAAAATCCATTAAGCTTTCAGCATTGATATCAAAATGTCATTATTGGACATTATTATTATGATGAACATTATAACTATAACAATACATATATAACTATAACTGAACATTATTATATAATATGTCATTAAGCATTGAGATAATTTGCACAGATTACCCATCAAGTCTAAATGCTACAATAAATATAATCATTTCCAGTATTTTTGATAAATGTGACATAATACTGTAGTAATTAGAACTGTCATTTCTCTACTACAATATTACATCTTATATTAACACATTTTTCTAATAGAAATTAGATAAAATTTATTTGCACTTGGATTTACGCATAAGACTTAGAAACAATATAAGACAAATTCTGTAAATTATGAACATTCTTATAGATCTAAAGTTTTCTTTTTATGTTAAAAGAATATTTATTTTATCTAATAAATGCATTGACTATAAATATATACTTATATAATTAATTGCTATACATTAAATAAAGTTAGGTTTATAATGACAACAATTATTATTATAGCTAAAATAAATTAAATTATATTACCTTCTTCAATCATTGAACTTAAACCTGGTTGAGAGAAGACCTGTTAATTAGAATTTGTAAATTCATATAAAATATCAAATATAACAGATTATTTATAAAATCAAAAAATAACTTCTAATACAATAATTTATTTTTAATATTATTTTTCAGATACTTTAAAAATTTTTCTATTCAGGCTTAAAAGTCATAAGAATAAAAATGATATTGAAAAAAGAAAAAAAAAAATCTAATAAAATGAGCTAATAAGATAATATATTCCTATCTTAATATATAGTAACAGGGTAAATTGCACAATGTAAGTTATATCTTCAATTACTTAATACAAAATTATATTAAATGCTTCTATGACTTAATAATAAACAAAATTTAATCAGTTAATCAATTAAATATTTAGTTCAAACACAACCAACAACAGACTTATCATATACTAACCTGTTTATTCAACAATTAAACTTAGCAACACACAAAAGATCAGTATGCATTTTGATAACAAAAAAATGTCTCCCTCAGCTGATTTTAACTCCAGAGCCCTTTCAACCTTTAAAACCAGCTGAGGAAAACAGCATTGTTTTTTGTCGTCAAAATGCATATTGTTCTTTTGAATATTGCTAAGTTTAATTGCTTAATTGTTGAATAAACAATGGCTAGTATATGATAAGTCTGTTGTTTGTTGAGTATGAACTAAATGTTTAATTGTTATCTAAAATACAGATAAAAGGCATTTGATATATGAAGATACAGTAGAGCATCAATTATCCGACTCAATTGGGGACTGGGGTTGGTCAGATAACTGAAAAAATGGATAACCGAAAAGTATGAAAAAATACATTAGTATAGTATATTAGTATATCCCATATAATTAGTATATTAGTATATTGTTATTATCCTACTTCATGTTGAATTTTCATCAATGGGCGTATTCAAAATCTCAGCATCAATCCAGCGAAATGCTGCTGGAAGTGATGCAACTGCTGGCATTTTCTAGAGAACACAAATGCTGACTGCCAGGAATTTCGGGAGAGAAAAACAATAAAAAAGGCGAATGATGTGGACTTCTCCTTTACGTTAAATGATTTTTTAACTTCTTTAATTAGAACAGATTAATGAAAAATACAAATTTTGAAAAGAGAAATAGAGATAAAGATACAGTAAATATACAATAATAATATTCTATTAAAGTATTAACCGAATATTAATTTATTCAGGATTTATTCATCAACAAATAAATTAAATTCAAAATTGGCAATGCAAAATAGAGCTCTTAAGAGCCTTATGGTGGCTGCCATCTTGTTTGCTAGCTCATCCAGCACCGAAAAAGACGCTTGCAGTTTGCTGCCAGCGCGCTGCCAGCAATCGGAAAGTTGGCTGAGATTTTGAACAGAGGTGCTGAGAGGCGCTGGCAGCACGCTGAGATTTTGAATACACCCAATGTTAAGCCTAACAAAAATTTTTTTTCAAATAATAATCATTGCTATTGTATCATTAAAAATTATTTTAAAATTATTTTATTGCTCACAAAACAAACAACCACTCAGAATTAGAAAATTAAGCCTCGTTTAAATACTGTCCTCCCTTTCATGGTCAAGCCAGTGTTGCCAGCTAAAACACGCAAAAATAATATTAAAGTACCCAAGACATAGATAAATATTGTAGTGCCACATCACTAGCAGATATTTGAATTTGCCGACTAGAATGCGGTCAGTTAACTGATGTGATGGTTGATCGGGGGTCAAATAATTGATGCTCTACTGTATATCATACTACATGAAAATTTAATCAGATTTAGCATTCATAATTACTTTATCATTCAGTATTACCTTTGTAACACGAAACAACATGTAAGCATTTTTTGGAGAAGTCAATTCCATACGAAGAAATCGTGGTAATAATTGTTGAAATATTGTTGTATAAAATAATAAATTTTCTGAAATAAATTTTTGCCTAAAGTAAAACAAAATAACAATCTAAACATTTGCAAATGAAATAAAAATTAACAAAAATTAATTAAAATAAGAGTATTTCAGAAATAGATAAGATATTTCTATTATGTTAGAGTTCTTACATTAACATATCACATATTCTTAATAAGATTGTCATAACAAATATTTAATGATTTGAAATTAATCATGTAAAGAAAAAAATATTAATAAAAATAATAATATGCTCCATTTATATTTTATTTATATGCTAATTCTTAATCAAAAATTTCTGAAATTGTAAAAATTTTATTTTAGTAGTTTATTCAATTCAATTTATTAAATCCCTTTGTATTGCATTTTAAGCATAAATTTAATATCAAATGTGCTATGTGATACATTTTATATTAAAAAACAAAGAAATTTATATAAAATTATTATTATTATATTATAATTATTGTCAATTTAATCACATCCAAACAATCAGTAAACAGAAAATGAACATGACAACAGAAAGCTGGAACATATTTCAATACTTAACTGTAACAACTACAGCAGTTTTCCCAGCAAAGAATTGGTTATTTGACAAACATTTTCAACTCAATATAAAAGCCTGCCTCAGATCAAATTGAGTTGAAAACGTTCATTAGATAACCAATCCTTTGCTGGAAAAGTGCTCTAGTTATTACAGTTAATTATTCATCAGAAAATATGTATTCATAATTGGCCATAAATGTTAATGTGCCAGATAAAAACAATAAAACAACTGTATATTATTTCACTCAACCATTTCAACAATGTTTTTAGCATAGTGATAGAAAGTTAAAAATATGAATCAGAATTTTATTTATCATGCAAAAACAATAAATGCATAATTATAACTGTTATATATAATAAAATTGATAAAATAAAAATAATTTTTGTCTTATATATACAATAATTCAATATGAACACAAAGTATATAATAAACTTTGTGTTATGCTGATTAATAAAATCAAAATATCAATTGTAGAATTTTGTCGGATGGCAATTTTATGTAAATTAATTTGAAGACAGTCTGTCCAAAACTGGGAACCACCATTTATTCACTTCTAGTGTTCCAGAATAGAGTTCCAGAGTTCCGGTTAATTTACAAAATCAAAATAAATAAATATATACTATAAAAAAATTATATAAATATATAAAAACCAGATTTTTAGTAATAAAAAAATTTAAATATTTACCATCTTGCCACCTTAGGAGTTTGTCCTTGTTCTTCTTCTTTAGTCAAATGTTTGTCACCACTTAAGTTAGTATATCTCCAAGGCTGAATATAGCTTAACCAAGTTTCTAATGGCTATAAATAAAAATAAAAATTTAACTTAGAATTTTACATATAAAAGATTCATCTAAAATATATAAATGCTTATAAAAATCCAAATCATTATACAAGATTCTATAAAGAATTTATGAAAACACACTGTGTACATGTGTACAATAATACACTTTTGAAGAAGGAATCAAATTTTGTAAATTGACTAAAAAGTAGCTTTTATTTATCATAAGTGTGAGTTCCACAATTTTACACATTTGTCAGAAATTTGTAAACAAATTCGACAGCAAAACAATCCCAGGAAGAATTAGAGCAGAGGCTACAATTAGTCATAACAATCCAATGGGAAAATTAACTCATAAGCATCAACTTGGCACCGTAACTGTCAACATTGAACGAACACATGACGCTTTTTCTCATGATAAGGGAATAAAAGAGAAAGTCACCCGAAGCTTGGGGGAATGATTAATCAGGACAACAATCAGTAGTTGTGTGCATTTCATCTCCCGGACTTCCATAATCCGGACTGGACCAAGAAGAGGAGAAGGCACCGGTTGGAAACCCATCCGTGACAACGACCCATCCACATGAATGAAGTTCTCCACATCGATTCTCCAATACGCTTGAGAGGTATTTAAGGGGGCTGAAACTTGTAAACTCTCTCTCCACGTAAAGTGCATTAGAATAGGAAATTAGAATGCATTTCGTAAGAATTTATTGTTCAAATTTGTAACCGCATTTATCCACTTCAATTTGTAACCGCATTTATCCATTTATAGATCTGTATTTTCTAGATTTAGTTTATAATAAATTTTATATTTTGTTTACGTTAAAACCTGTCTTTCGTTTGTCTACGGATCCCTGACGACTTACCGACACACTACCCACTTGATTTGCCCTCCTAGCCATCCAACAACCTCGAGATCGAGTTTTACCAGCCTGTGCAGATTAAGTGGTCAGAAGGGATTAATCCCTGACCCCCTGCTTATCTCACATAAGCAATAATGATTCTGGTTATTTCACTTCTGGATTCTTGACATTTTTCTATTACATTTATGATTATATATTTTGATAAACATACTTACCAAACGAAATGATGCATCCAATGGCCATTTATCAAACGTATGACGAAGAAATGTGTACAATCTTTTCTGTACAAACTGTTGTAAAACTGTGCTATAAAAATTTTCCATTATTAAAATAATAAATCAATGTTTTATATCTAATACATATAATAAATCTATTTGAAATTATAGTTATTCTGGCTAATCCAAACTAATTTTGTTTTTATGCTAAATATTCCAGTTAAAAATAAAAACAACCACAGATTATTTTTAAAAAACATGATGAATTTATAAAATTAAATTAAATTAATTAATAATACATACTACACATTTTAACATAAATAAATGCACCAAATATAACAACATTTTTAAAAATATATGCATTTGTTTGTAGTCCTATTCAACACTAGAACACCCAAACATAGCCTACTCCCAACAACACTTGAGTGATCAATTTTGTTTTTGGCCATTTTATAACATTAAATGTTACTATTTCATGTTTTTTAACTTGTTTTAATGCACTGTAATTATAATTTTAAGTTTATTAATTATGAATGTCTATAGATGAAAATTTTTTTAAGATAAATATGTCTTTTCACATGTTACAGGGAAGGGTCCTGATATATTATACAGATTATTTTGTGATTAGGAATGTGTCATGTATGAACTTCTTGCACGCAAATCAAGTTACTTTTGTCTTTTCTTTGCAAAGTCCAATTTTGCAAGTCTTTAGTTGGCAGCTTTGGACATAGTTGTATCACTACTATCTAGCAGGAATGATGGAGATATTGGATGCTGAAGTCACAAATTCTTATAAGACACAACTAACTCTTAAAAAGTTTTCATCATGAAAGACCATCAAGAGATCTTGGATCCAATTATGATCTTGAACAATGTACTACTGTATGTGAAATGATCATAGCCAGATCAAGAATGTTATAGAAAACGTGTATGGATCAGTGCCTTATCATCGGTCTAGCACTGTACTATACCTTTGAATCATTTGATCTATTACTATACCACATTTGGTTTCATTATATTAATAAAAGCTGACTGACTGACTGAGGTGTTTTCTTCTTTTCTTCCTCATTGATCATTACATTTGAATGCATACTGCTAAGAATATGCAAATTATTTTTGAATTTTTCTTAGTAAGAGTAATATCCTCTATCTTGTAAATAACAGCAGAATGAGAGTTCTTGTAGCTTTTTTTATAAAGGATAGGACTTCCTTCAAGCTTTATTCAAACTACCAACAATACCTGTATTTTTTTTTTCTTCCAGTTATCTTGCCAGCTTGAGTGATATGAAGAAATCATCTGATATGACATTTTGTCCCATGTTTAGGAAAGGTTCCATAAAGCAAAGAGTATCGTGATAATTTAAATCAACCAAATCAAATAAAATTTAAAAGATAAAATGAGATCTGCAGATCTCATTTTATCTTTTCAATTCTATTTGATTTGTACATCTTATTTTATCAGTCAGACTCAGAATTGCACTCTTGATCTGAGTATTCACCTCCATACTGAGTTCAAGATATATCTTGCTCAGCTTTCAGAATTTTATCTCCAGTAATATTATGCTTGGGCAAAGGATACATAAGCAATGATCTATAAAATATCAAATGCAACCCAACTCAAACAGACATGACACTATGTACAAGGAAACTTTACAAAAACTGCAAGTTTAGATCTGGCAGCTATGCCCCTCAAAACTGGTGATGCAGCAGTTATCATAAATACTATACTTCTTTAAGTTATAAGTGATAAATTACTGAACTTTTATCATTAAAAGTACATGAAAATCTTGTTAAAGAAGGGGTGGTCATTTGACCTCTGCCGGGCACCAACGGTAAATTCGGTGTTATCTTAAAAACTTTATCCTGGAAAACAATGATTTCTAGTCAAAAATAACTTTCCCTAAAACAATTAAGTCATAAAATCTCAGAATGATACTAACAAAAACAGAAGCACAAGTTTCCTAAAATTACATTTTTATAACTTAAGTACTGAATTACACATTTAAAAAAAATCTATTTCTATCTATTAGTACATGTTCTGACCTCAAAAGACCAATTTTTGAGAAGTTCTATACTTTTGTGGAGCATTTTATAAACTACTACTATACTTTTCATCTTGTATACCACCATTGTACAAAAACAGAAAATAAATTTTACATTTTTATAATAATAAAATATTAGATGAAACATAATTATGTTTTCAAAAGATTTAAATTGCACTACATAAATAATTACCATTTTAATATTTCCATTCCATTCATTTGTTCATAAGCATATCCACTAGTTGAATTAATTGGTCTAGCACTGTTAGCAAAATAATGAAGATATTTAACGAAATTTCTAACCATTTGCATATGATCATGAGATGGTATAGGATGTTCCTAAATAAAGAACAGAATATACTTCTTGAAAAAAAAAGTTAAATAAAAAAATAATTTATTTATCTATTATTGAAGTTAAAATATTTCAATACTAAGTATTTTGAATTTACAGTATATTATATATATATATACAGTAAAATCTCGCTAGTCTGAACACCACTAATCCGAATGTCCACCTAATCTGAACATGTTTCAGTCAGCAGAGGAAATTTTCTCTAACAAGAGGTCCAATTAAGGGTGCTCCCTTTTCTCTTTCCAGAGTGACAGAGTGAACCACATGAATAAGGCTTCATCAAGCTTGTTGAATGTTGAGGGCCTTCCAGTTTGTCAATTTTCAACTGATTTTTTTGAAGTAGAGGCACAAAACTGCTTGATCTTTGTGTGTTTTTTTCCAGTTGGTTATTGTGGCCTTGTTCACTCCAAACTCTACTACCAATTTCATTGCATTTTCACCCTTGTCCAGCCTTTTCAAAATGTCCAGCTTATCTTTCAACGTAAACATTGTATGTTTCTGTTTCATGGCCATTGCAGCAACAGACTAAACTAAACTAAAATAATATAGAGCAAAGAGTTTTCAACATCCACAATTAAGCATGCTAACTCATACAGTAGCATCAGTCAACTGATTGGAATCCTGGACTGTGTATTAAAAACAATATTCTTTACAATTAAAAATTTTTAAGGTAAACAATGAAAGCAGGTTGCCATTTCAAAATTACAAAACTTGTTTTTGTTAACTGTTTGCACCCTCTATTGAGTACAAGTCAGATGAAATAAATGGTGGGGCACTGTCGTCATTAATGATGTTGGATCTATATAAACCAGACTTGTTTTACTGCTTACTTCTGCATTATTTCAATTACAGTAGAACCTCGATTATCCAGACTAATTGGGGATAAAGGTAGTCTGGATAAGGAAAAATTCGGATAATCGAAACAAATACTTTAATTTGTCTTTTAATGATAATACAACACATTTTCTTTTCAATGACATATGGGTAATATTAAAAATAAATACTTTATTTAAATCGTGATCAAATTTTCAAGAAACAAACGTTTGTATTGAATTTGGACTACTACTAACCGGCGCTAACAGACTACCTATTGTTTAAAAGGCCCTCTGGTGG